GGCCAAATCCTTGAGCATAGCTTCCAAGTATTTCTTCTTCTACTACTTCTCCAAATCGGCCAAGTCATCAGTAGCCAACAAGGCAACATTGCAGCATGCGTCATACTCCTTTCTAGCAGTTGAGGCTCCTAATTTGGCTTCTTTAACTTCTTTCTCAGCAACTTCTAGAAGGCCTTTTAGGTTTTTCTCTTTTTTCACGGAGCTTCTTTATCTTCTTTTTCATTGTAACTAGGGACTGACGGATAGATGACACTTCTCTAACCTTCTCTTTTTCTTCAATCATGGTATTTGTAAGGTGTACCTCAACTTCTGATATTGTAGTCTCCTCAACCTTCTCAGATAAAGTAGATCGTGTCTTGTCATATGAATCAACAAGCTCAACAAGGGACTCCAGTAATTTTCTCAAAGAAAAAATATCCACATCATCCCCATCCATCGCCTCAAAGATCACTTTAGTATTCTCTTCAAGCTCAGAGACCTTGTCTGCACCACTACCTTTCAGCTTATGTTGAATCGAAGTCCAAAGCTTCAAGATAAACTCTTTTCGATTATCCAAGACAACCTTCTTTCCATCAAAAACGGACGTTGCAACTATAGGTTGTTCGCACAAATCAGAGCCCAACTTTGCCCTAATTCCATTACGAGAAATAGAAGTTTCCTCTTGATCTGCCTTAGGTGTGGAAGATGATTTCTGCGGGTCCGGTACTTCTATAGACTCACTACTATCTTGTGGCCTTCCTTATTACAATGCTCCAATTTTATTTGGATGCAAAAAAGTGTAAGAACACTTTAGCAAATTCATTTGGTCGTGGTTCAAAAATGAAAAGTTTAAGTTTTTTTTTACCTTTTCGTTACAAGCTGTTAGTGTTCTTGAAGGACTATCAACGCTTTGGACCTCTACAACTCTTTCTGGGTTAGGCTTTTTCTTTTTCAACATTGATCTCCTTTACTGCTATTGCTCTCCTCTTGGGATAGTCATTTCTTAGAGGCATCAACAACTACATCCAACAGAATAAGACTTTTGTCAACTGGAGCATGGATCTCTTCTCTTTGAACTTCTTTGTGTAGCTGAGGTCCATTGCCTGCACGTGTCTCAGCTACCTTAGACTTTAAAGAAGGAAGTTTATCAATCACTAGGACATCTTATTACAGTCTTGAAGAGTATTTGTGATTGGCTCAACAGTATTCATAAAGAATGGTCTTCAAGAAAGCTTACATGCGCCCTTGCCCACCAAGATCTATAGTTAGACGATGTAAACTTCCTCATGTTGGACCCAAAAGGAGTAAATGATTCCCTTGACTTAGTCTAGTCAGCACACAAATTCGTGCAAGTCTTAACCTTTCTTCTAATGAGACCTCACAAAAATCTCGCTCCAAGCGACCAAGGGTATCTTGATAAAAATCAAATTGGCGGCTAAATCGATGGGTCTATAAGGTTTAATAATAAAGTTGACTCTGTCCTTCAAAGGAAGATAATTCGAGTGAATATTCATAAAAAAATCTAACTCGAACTCGTCTGCCTTACCGTCGTCATAGTAATGGTACGAATTAGATCCAAGGGGCATTGTCAATGTCCAAATGATATTATCTTCATTATGGATACGCTTCCTTGCTTCCTCTTTCCCAAAATATCTATCAGCACCTTCACCATAACATGTGGCCATAAGAGGAACAACTGGCCCCTTTGCATACGGGAAATGAGTCTTAAAGTAATGGGCTATACAACCATACACATAATAGGATGCAAAGTAAGCTTGGGCATGATCAAGCAACAAGCACTTTGAAATCGCATTTAAACCCTTATATATGCTATCTAAGACCGGGATTGCAAGGCTGACTCTTCATTTACAAGTAAGATGATATGCGTCTTAAAGGTCCCAGGACGAATGAAGTCGCTTTCTTTTGAAAGGAGCAAAAAAATACATAACCAACAAGATAGAAAAGCAACCAACTATGTCTCATCTTTCTTGTCACCCATGACCCCTAGCTTATGGAATATGGCTTCTTCAACAGTCAACCAATTAGTTTCTTCCTCTATGACCCCGGTAGGATTGTGCTTTGATTTCAAATGAGCAAACTTCTTTTCTTTCCTTAATGGATGTTGAGTGTACTTCATTATCTTTCTGTATTAGAACTCTACCCATTTTTTCATATAAACCTTTTGGTCGGTCCTACTTCCCTCTCGGAGCCGATGGAAGGCATCAAACAAATGCTCACAAGTCCATGAAAGAAACCTTCTCCCCTTGTCATATGTGCCTATAAGTTCTTCAATATTTGGCATAACTTCCTCATAAGGAGATCCTGTTATAGGCAGACTGTCGATCTTGCATAAATCCCAAAGCGATATAGATAGTTCTCCGGTAGAGGTAAGCAATGTATTTGTAATAGGGAACCATGCCTCACAGAAAACTTGCATGATATTTGTATTACGGTCATATGTGAAGAGTGAAGCATATACAACATCATAAATTCTTGCACCCTCCAGGGTTAAACAACACCTACTTAAGACATCTTCTTCCCATTCTTAGTAGCCACGAACTTAATGAAATTCTCTGCCAAAAGGTAAATCATCACCCCAATAAGTTTTCTTGTTGATGATTCACCGCCCAAGGCATGGTAAAGTACTCGCAACATTCCAAGCATGATGATTAGGGGTGCAAAGTATCCATGTCTTGGGAGGACGATTGTTATATTCAAATGTCCAGTCTTCCAAATAATGTGGATCCCTCAAAGGAATCCACGAAGCTTCAGCGTATTGGCCTACTAATGGCCTATCAACTAATAACCTCGTCTCCACCTTGCTCCCTTTATGGGCTAAAATAATAAGGTATTGTGAATCGGAGGAAGGAAGCCTAGAGTCTTTGAAGTAAAACATATTTAGAAAAAGAGAGAAAAGTGTTCATTAGTACTTAGCTTAGAAAGGTAATATTCATGGTCTTAAATCCATAATATATTATGTCCACTCAAGACTAATCCTACTAAGCATGAAAAAGTAAAATCTTTGACGTAGACGGTGTAATTGTCTATGCATCAGATAAAGTGAAGACAAATCTTCACAAACAAAATAAAGTGTTCGGCTTAGACGGTTTAATGATCTCCGCTTTAGAAAAAATGAAGTCTTTAGCTTAGACGGTGTAATAGTCTTTACTTCAAACAAAATAAAGTATTTAGCATAGACGGTGTAAAGGTCTTTGCTTCATATAAATAAAATATTTGGCTCAGACGGTGTAATGGCCTTCGCCTTAGATAAAGTATAGTCAAATCTTCAAATAAAATGAAGTCTTTAGCTCAGGCGGTGTAAGGGCCTTCGCTTTACACATAAAAATCTTCGGCTCATACGGAGTAATGGTCTTCGCCCCAGATGTATGTCTCAAAATTTGCCCTAGAATATTTAAGATGAGATAACACTAAAGGAAGAGTCTTAGAGTCATCATCGGTCGAGGTCAACTAGGAAGCAGCGAGATTCATGGTTGAGATACCAGCAATGGTCGAGGTCGAGCACCGTTAACGAAGCTGTAACGACAAGTTTTCGAAATAGGATATTAAAGAGAATATTCTAGTGGATATTCTCTACACTTGTACTATTAGGGTTTATTAGAAAAATATCTCATATAAATAGAAAAGAGACAATGATGTGGGGCATGTGACATTTATTCGATAAGATCAGATTTTTGACAAAAGATTCTCTCTCTCGCACTAAGATACAAACACTACCTTTTCATCAAGATTCTTGTTCATATTATTCCTTGCTTTTCCATCATATCCAAGAATCATTTGAACATTCTAGAATTTGTCTGTCACTCATCATTGTCAGGAGGGAAACTCGTCTACTTCATCCTTTATTGGGTGAATCACTTCTCATATTTACTTAAATGATATTTACTGTTATTTATTGCAATATTATTGCTCATACTTTTTGAGATAGTTAATGCACAGTTTTATCCATTTACCACCAGATCTGTTTAACATTATTCACTCTTTCGGAACCCACATCTAGAAATATTATTATTAACTAGGTTTAACCCATTACCATGCAAATTAAATTATTTTAACCAAAAGTTGTATTTTTTGGTCAAATAATCTGGCGCCGTCTATGGGGATTTCTTAGTTAAGCTTTTAGTTTCTTCTAGATCTACAGCCAACACGGGTCAGTAACGTAAAAAAAAAGAAGCAAAAACGAGATCTCCTTTCTTTGTACGTACAAAATCCCAACATAGAAGGTAACCGAGAAGAAAAGACGAGAATAATAAGTGACCTCCCAACTAACCTCATGAACGTCATCAACGGAAGTTGTGAAATGGCAGACGAACACGCAACGCCCAATGCCTCCCCTAGACGAAATGGGTCACCGCCTCCTCACTGCAGCATCACAAAATCTCTTGGTATAGGAGCCTCCATATCTGTGGGGGAGGATATGCCCCCAGCTGTAAAAAAATCTCCTCGAATCATGGCTAACTGACACGCTAACTAACATCCTCAACAAGCCCGCCCGGGACACGGCTACAGAAAACGCAAGGACTTGAACTATGCAACCAGCAGGCGAACAGTACAACGATGGTATTATTCACAATGCCGTTAATAGTGCAGGTGACAACGCCCTCGCAGCCATTTTGAAAAGGATGGAGGAAATGGATAATGAGAACAAGGTACTCCGAGATCAAGTGAAACAACACCAAGAAAGGGTCGATAAAATACCGAGCGCCCCTAAACTATTGCCAAAGAGAGACGTTAGCCGGTTCGTCGAACAGTCGTACAGTGATGATGCAGCCCCACATGCTATACCAAAAACTTTTAAAATGTCACCCTACCTCAAGATATATGATGGCACAATCGACCCCGAAGATCATGTGACTCATTACGTCACCGCCGTAAAAGGCAACAACCTCGCCAAGGAACATGTGTCTTCCATTTTGCTGAAAATGTTTGGAGAAACCCTCACTAGATGAGCATTAACATGGTATTCGCAGCGACCAGCACAATCCATCGAAACTTTTGACGAAATGGCCGACAAGTTTGTAATGGCCCACGCTGGAGCAAAAAAGGTCGATGCTAGAGTGAACGACATATTTGCCATCAAGCAATCTCTAGGAGAGGAATTAAGGGACTTCCTCGCCCGGTTCAACAGAGTAAGGATGACTTTGCCAAACGTGTTTGAAGGGATAGCAGTTGCAGCCTTTCAGAATGGGTTGAGCAGGAATGGCTCAAGAGCAACGAGGAAACTATTAAGCCGGTTAATGAAGTATCCTCCAACCACTTGGGATGAGATCCACAATGCTTATTGCGCTGAGGTCCGTGCATATGAGTATGACCTCAATGGGCTGACCCACCGGTTAACCTCAGTACAAGCGGATTCACGAAAAGATCACAGAGACAACTCCAGAAGAGATCACCCGATCCCAGAGCCTAACAGGGAACAACACCAACCATACATCAAGATGGCGACTGCCTCCTCTCTTCGCTACGAAGAAGGTCCATCCAGACCCAGGATGGTAACTCATCGAAACGAACGAGGTATGTACCCTTACTTTCTACTCACAATTTTTATGTGTTGCCCACAGAGATAGTCTACGCCTTGGAGAAGCTCGGACCAAAAGTGAAGTGGACGCCGAAGATGAGATCAGACCCTAATACCAGAAAGTCAAATGCCCTCTGTGAGTTCCACCAAGAGCGAGGGAACAAAATGGAAGACTGCATCGCCCTGAGGTAGTCATGAATATGCTACGCCAAGGACATCTTTAAGAGCTGCTAAGCGACAAGGGAAGAACCAACTTCACCAGAGAGCGCGAACATCAAGGGCCACCTAAACCACGATCACTAGCCCGTACCATCAACATGATCATCGGAGACGACGTCTCTATCAACAGCGTGAAGTTCACCACTACACACAAACTTAAGCGATCCATCACCCGCGAACGGTACGACGAGCTCGAAAAATGTATCATCTTCGACAAGTCAGATGCTGACAATTTGGTCTTCCCTCATCATGACGCGCTCCTCATTACTCTGCGAATTTTGGATACTGATGTTAAACGTATTATAATTGCTGATGAAAGTGGCGCATGCATCATCCATCCCCGAGTACGTACCCAAATGAAGCTCGAGGATAGGATAGTGTCGCGCTTTATCACACTAACTAGTTTTAACAATGCAGTGGAACAGACATCCGGAGAAATTACTCTCCCTATTTTAGCCGTCGGCGTAACTCTAGAAACAACATTCCACATCATGAACCAAGACACTGCATACAACGCCATAGTAGGTCAACCGTGGATACACCCCACGAAGTTCGTCCCCTCCAGCTTATACCAAGTCATCAAATTTCTAACTCTATAGGGGATATTCAGCATACGAGGAGACCAACATACATCCCGGAAATGCTACCGCATTGCTTTAGACAGCACAACCTCCCACCAAAGGAAGGACAAAGAAAAAGAAGCATTGCAATAAACAGGGTCGAGGTCGGGACATGAAAAGGTCATAGAAGGTATCCGAGATCCCGACATAGTCAAAGCCGCAGGGTCGACCATAGAAGACCTCAACCCCATTCAATTAGACTCCAACGGCCACAACAAAAAGGCATATATCGCTTGCAAGCTACATGACCCAAGTAAATTCAGTCAATTCTTAAAAACTAATGCAGATTTGCTTGCTTTTAGCCATGCAGATATGCTAGGTATCCCAAAGGAAATCGCCACGCACAAACCGAACGTCGACCCATTTCACCCCCAGTAAGACAGGTCAGGCATAAGTATAATTTTGCAATTAATGACGCGTTACATGAAGCGGTGGAAAAACTGTTGGAAAATGGCTCCATCAGGGAGTCAAACTACCCCCAGTGGGTCACCAATGTAGTCACGGTGAAAAATGGCTCCATCAGGTAGCTGTGAGCGCAATCCTCATTCGAGAAAATAAAGGTACGCAATCCCCCATCTATTATATTAGCAAAACATTAGTCGACGCCGAGACGAGGTACCTTCACCGCGAAAAACTGGCTCTGGCCTTAGTCGTAGCTTCACAAAAGCTTAGATTGTATTTCCAATGCCACCCCATCTCGGTCTTCACAAATTTTCCCCTAAGAAGCATTTTGCATAAACTCGATCTATCGGTAAGGCTGGCCAAATGGGCCATCGAACTAAGCGAGCACGATATCACGTACCAGCCGCAAACATCTATAAAGTCATAAGTGCTTGCTGACTTCGTTGCCGACTTTAGCGCAAAAGTAATGCTCGAAGTTGAAAGAGAAGCCACCCACACTTCCCCCAAAACACAAGACCTCTGGGTCCTGTACACCGATGGCGCGTCCAATGCGTCAGGGTCCGAATTGGGACTCGTACTCGAAGTCCCGACCGGCAAAGTAATTCACCAGTCCATAAGGTGCCCGGATATGACTAACAATGAGGCCGAGTATGAGGCCGCAATTGCAGGTTTGAGGCTAGCACTCAAGTATGGAGCGAAACGGATAAAACTATGATGTGATTCCCAACTCGTAGTCAACCAAGTCCCAGGGACTTTCCAAATCAAGGAACAACGATTGCAAAAGTATCAAATCAAAATTTGCAAGCTACTGCCCGAGTTTGATGAATGTCAACTCGACCAAATTCCATGAGCACAGAACACTGAGGGAGACGGCCTCTCTAAGCTAGCCGCATCCACCAAAAACATTACAACCGGAGACAAAAGTGTGGTCCACCTCCTTAACTCGTCGCTAGACCAAGTCGAGGTAAGAACCATAAACTTAACTTAGGACTGGCACGATCATATTATTACATACTTGCAGGACGTCATACTCCCATATAATAATAAAGATGCCAAAAAATTGAGAATGCAAGCGGCAATATACAGTATCATCCACAACGACCTGTATAAGAGAACTTATGGCGGCCCTCTGGCAAAATGCTTGGGCCCAAACCAAACTCGACGTGTCCTTGAAGTGGTCCACGAGGGCCATTGTGGAGCTCATTCCGGTGAGCTCTGGTCAGATGCTTCATACGGTAGGATACTACTGGCCCACCATTAAAAAGGAGGTCGTGGACTTCATAAATAATTGCGAGAAATGCCAAAAGTATGCCCCAATGATTCACCAAGCGGGCAATCACCTCTACTCGGTCACCTTACCTTGGCCATTCCTTTTGGTTTTAACTGACTACTTCTCTAAATGGGTGGAAGCAGGAGCATTCACCCAAATACGGGAACATGAAGTAATCACCTTTATATAGAGGAAAATCATATGCCGGTTCGGCCTCCCCAATGAGATCAGATGCGACAACGGACCCAATTCACGGGAAAGAAAACCGCCGAGTTCTTTGAGAAATGGAAAATCAAAAGGATATTCTCGATGCCATACCACCCCGCAGGCAACGGGCAAGCGGAGTCCTCCAACAAGTCGATACTGTACATCATGGACAAAAAGCTTGAAGACGCTAAGGGACTGTGGCCGGAAATATTACCAGAAGTATTGTGGACTTATCGAACAACTTCGAAAACGAGCACAGGAGAGACACCTTACTCTCTGGTCTATAGGACCGAGGCAGTAATACCAGTCGAGGTTGGTGAGCCTAGTCTAAGGTATTCCCATGAGAGCGACACAAGTAACGTTGATGGCCGAAAATAGGAACTCGATGAAGCTAACAGACAAAGAGATATGGCTTATATAATAATGATCGCCCAAAAACAGCAAGCAGAGCATTATTATAACAAGAAAGCAAAGGTTAGGCCGCTCAAAAGCGGAGACTACGTACTGAAAGCTAAAACCCAAGCAAGCAAAGATCCTAAGGAAAGTAAGCTGGGAACAAATTGGGACGGTCCGTACAAAATCACAGCAAAAGCAAATAAAGGATCATTTCAGCTAGAAACAATGGAAGGAAAGCTACTACCAAACAACTAGAATATCATCCACCTCAAGTACTTCAACTTCTAAAGGAAAGAGTTCCCCCCCAAGTTGTACTCTTTTTTCCCTCACTTGAGTTTTGTCCCAATTAGGATTTCTCAAGGAAGTTTTTAACAAGGCGATGAAGGGAACACCCCAAGTCAAAGTACGCAAAGGCAAGGCCCCGATTTCTATTTTATTGCCCGACCTCTCACTACTCTCCAGATCGACCAATGAAGGGACTAGGTAAACCAGGACTAGGACTGGAATGCCAGCCAACACCCAAAGTCTATAAATTTCTCCAAGTATGTAACAAGTGCAACAATGTCAAGGCAATAAACTTTACACTTACCAGCTATTTCTATCAATGTTAGGTTATGTTCGACCTCGCTCGAGCTAACACATACCGGCCCTCGGCCATATTTAAGTTACGTTATGTTCGACCTCGCTCGAGCTAACACCTACCGGTCCTAGTCCATAATTAAGTTAGGTTATGTTCGACCTCGCTCGAGCTAACACCTACCGGCCTCGGCCATAATTAAGTTAGGTTATATTCGACCTCGCTCGAGCTAACACCTACCGGCCCTCGTCTATAATTAAGTTAGGTTATGTTCGACCTCGCTCGAACCAACACCTACCGGCCCTCAGCCATAATTAAAGTCAGGTTATGTTCGACCTCGCTCGAACTAACACCTATCGGCCCTCAGCCATAACTAAACTCAGGATGTATTCGACCTCGCTCGAACTAACATTTACCGGCCCTCGGCACAACTAATTTCAAATATGTCCGACCTTCCTTTAATAATAAACACAAGCAAAAAACACACATGTATAGAAAGACTAACCACAAAAAGGGAAATAGATGCAAGAAAACAATATGAGCATTCCATATTCATACTTAAACATTTTTTACAAAGGCTCGTGAAGCCGCCAACAAAAATACACAAGCTTACAACAAAATAAATAAATAAGGAGAAAAACTACTGGTCGCCGTCATCGGGGCTTCAGCACCATCGCCCTGACCACCCGGGCCGTCTCGATCTCCCCTTTCATCATCACCATCGCCCGCGGGGTATGCAACATCATACCAGACATTCTCTTCAAGATGGTCCATGCCCCTGTCCCCCTCATCGTCACCAATCTCAGGCGTGGTAGGATCATATCCACAGGTGACCCGAGCCTCGCGGGCTTTAACACGAACATCATCAATGGTTGTCGTCGAAACAGACCTCACCGAACATTTGGGAAATTTGAAATGCGAGAAGCTGATGGCTGCGCGAGCAATTGAGCCTTTTCATCCTCTAAGGCGGCCACCTGGTCATGGAGGAGGGAGTTGTCTTTTTCCAGCTCTCTGATCCTCTCCTCCAATCTATCTTCTTTGGCCTTCGCCGTAGATTGGTCAATCTCCCGCTCTTCCTGGAGAGTCCTATTTGCCAACTCTAACATCACCAACTTTCTCCGAGACTCCAAACGGAAAGACTCCGCCTTCTCAAGCTCGTCCTGTTTCTAGCCGACATGGCCATGAAGGACCTCCATCTCTATGCGACACTTTTCCAATTGCCTGCGCAACTCGATCACTTGCGTCTGAAGGTCGCCACATTGGGCCTCTACGCTTATGTTGACCTCGAGCTCTTCCTCCTTACTTCTCAACGTCCTCTCAGGGACACTGCACTTCTCGATGACTCTCACCAGCTCGTCATCCTTCTCCTTCATTTCATCGCGAAGGGTCTGCAAATTGCCGCCCTCACCAAACCGCCTACGGAACTCCTGGTACTTGCCATGGTACTTGAAATATTTATGTTGCAACCTCGCAAATATTGCCTTATGCCTTTCCTCCCTTCAGGCACTTTCAATCTCCAAGATCATGGTCTACAGTCATAAGAAGGAAGAGAAAGAAGGAAAGAAAAAATAAGAACACCCTCGCTAACAAAAGCAAAGCACTAAACAAATTTTTTTAAACATAACAGACAAAAATATGAAGCCTTGAAATACTTACTCTGAAAGCAAGACCGGCTATGCTCCTCGATAAGGTAACATCGTCCAGTGCTTTGATGGATTCTCCCTCCATGTCGGAGCAAGGGGGGGCGAGGGCAGGGACTACGTTCTATGTATTCTTCAATAAATCACGATCCATGGGAATCGCAATGGTCCGTGTAGATCCCTCCAGCCTCACCTCGAGCTGGGTAAACCCTTCCTCCATCATCCTCAGCTCTACAACGTCAATGTATGAACCCATCTCATAGCCATATTCGGCAACACCTTTGCCTATCTCCTCAACCGGCTGCGAGGTCGACGGTCCCTCTTTCCGCGAAGTATCAGGAGTCCTAGCGGCTGGCCCTTCAGTTTCCGTTATTGCAGAAGGGAGAGATACACCCTCATCCATCTCCACCGACTTGGCAACTCAAACGCCAACCTGACATCGTCTTATATTATGATAGTCGTCGTCTCATGACGCGTGAAGTCATCTATCACCGAGTCAACGGCCCGGCAACCCCATCGCCCACGTTCACCGATCTCTTCTTACGGGACATCAGGTCCCCATCACCTGGCAATGACTCCTCCTCGTCTATGAGACAATACAAGGGAGAAGCCAAAGCTTTTGCTGCCAAAGTCTCCACGGATAAAGAAGGAGTTGAAGCGGAAGCATCAACATGAGGGATCGAGGAATGACCAGAATCAGCCGCAGTCGTAGAAGGGACATGAGCCGGAGATGTTGCAGCTTTCCTCTTACAAAACACAGGCGCGGGAGCTCTCGACCTCTTCGAGGACCCCCTAACTGAAATTAAGGGAAGTACAAGCGGATAAGAAAGTTAACCAAAACAACCACATAAGATAAATATCCAACAAAACAAAGACAAGAGCAACTTACCAGTCGAAGAGGGAGCCGGCCCAAACCTCTTGAAAAAGCCCGGCCACTCGCGAATTCCCGCGATGTGAGGGAGAAAATGGCCGACCCAACCAGAAATATCCTCGACCAAAGGGGGAGGCGAGGTCTTGGCTGCATTAGAAAAGGAC